CTCTCTCTCTCTCTCTCTCTCTTTTTTCTTTCTCTCTTTTTCTCTCTCTTTCCCTCGCTCTCTCTCTCTCTCACTCGCTCCCTCTCCCTCCCTCATTCTCCGTCCCTTTCCCCTTCGTTCTCCGTTCTTCGAAGCAAAGCAGAAGAAACCCCCGCGGTTGCTCGTTCGTTCTCAAAAGTCTTACTCGTTGTCACGCGCTAAAAATACTCCCGCACAGTCTTCCGAGGGTGTACCATGCCAAAGGAGAACGGAAATTAGGACGACAAAAGCAGTCAACATCGACCTGGAACTGTCATGGAACGGCTCTCGAGAGTGGCATGTTATTTTCGATGGATGAGAAACACGACACCTCACGACATAAGCGAACCGATCGCTGAAGATGATGGGAAAACCGTGGAGGTTGAACGATGTAAAAATGTCGGGTGTAATTTCGAAGCTTCGAAGCGGCTTTGCAACATTTTGGAGAGTATCCTTCTTTGGGAGAACTCCGTGAACAGTATCTCCGTCGTCATCGTATTCAACATACTGTTTTGGTAAGTTCTTCTGTCCACCGTAACGCACTGTGCGTCGTTTTCAGCTTTATCCTCGCATTATCCTCGAAATTTGATTACACACTAGGATTTACCATTTTCCTATTATGCTATTCTACAATGTTCACCGCAGCTTCGCTTTGCTCGAATGAAATGGGATTCCCAAGATTTAACTTGATCGCTGAACGGCGGACGACACACGGCTCCTTTCGCGTCCAGTAATTTATCGTTCGATTATTCCTAATGTTTCCTCATGCTAAATATAATTCTAACGGTAACGGTGCCTACATGTATTAATAAAAATTTCACGCATTGAAAATTATCGCGCGACACTCGATGCAGCTGTCTCCTAATACTTTGCGAGTTATCCGCCTTCTGGGTCAAGGTTTGTTGAAGCGTGTATGTTTCGGCATTTGATGTCAGTTGTAAATAACACTGTGTATCAATACTCGGGGGCTACGAGAGCTTTGCGTATGCCCGTACATGTTCACTGGCGGTCATTGATAAATTTCGTATGGTACATACGATACGCTATTAAACCCGTTCCCTTCCCCACAGTTTCATTTATTCATGACATTCTTGTTTGCTTTGTCGCATGAATTGCATCTTCTCAGCGTATTTTCCCACCAGATCCATAGTACTATACTAGATGGCAGTGCGTGTTAATAATTAAAAAGTATAATCGTGCGACTAGTTTGACGTGTAAAAGTTCACGAATCTTTTTTTTATGAAAGGTTCCTACGTGGACTGAAATGATGAAAAAAATTTATTTTGCCTGAAAGTAAGCATTTATTAAATATTCAATTATTTATATAATTTACGAGTATTATTATCGTAACGAAAAGCTGTCCATGTTTTGAATGATAGGTTGAGAAAAAATGATACTTTAAAGTAAACAATAACAAAAACAATTTATGTATGTGTTTCAGGGGTATTATTGTGTTAGAGGTTCGTGGCTTTGCTGCAGCCAGCAGTGCTGCGCTGGTCATAGTCCTGTGCTATAGTACCTTGGAAGCCCATGTTCAAAAAGAGAATAAAGCACCTAACACAACTATGTAAGCATTAGGATTCTAAATAATATATTTTTTTTTGTTCTAAGCATGGCTTATTTAATGTATGTATTTTGCAGATCATGCGCGAAAATAGAACAGATTGAGAAGATTGGAAAAAAAGTGAAATCAGCAATTTATAGTTTGAAACAATTGAGAAAAGATCAACCAGGAGTGGTAAAATTTCATTGATTTATTAGACATTTTATTTTGTGTCAAATTAAAGAAGATATCATTTAAATCCTATTAATGTTGATGTAGTATATATACAATACATTTAAAAAACATAAACTATTGTATTCGATCTAAAAATTTCAAAATTATTTTTAGTTTTGCACTGCGGTATGTTCTCTCTCTTTGTGTTTATGGATTATTGGTCGTACTATAAATGGTGTACTTCTTGCGTACACAATATGTATGAGCATTCTGCTTGGACCTGCATTATTATTAAAACTACCAAATAAGATGTTATCGCATAAAGGTAAATAATTGTAGCAACAATGGGAGAAGTGCTAAGGTTACGCAAAATTTAACATGTATTGCAATGTATATATATATTTTTTAACAGAATGGGATAGCGAAATTGAAGAATTTTTACCAGCAGTAACAGAGGACAATCTTCAAGTTCTTACAAGGGCAGGAGAATCAGGAGATCAATCTCCGACACCAACGAGTGTGTTGTCTGATGCTCAAAATGGTATAATTTACTATTTCATATTATTATCTTAATAGTACTGAATTTGGATTTAAAACGATTAACTAAATATAAAAAATTTTCACTTACAGAATTTTTTAATGATGATGATCTTATGGGTTTGAAAATGCCATCCCATGAAGATGGAAGTACTGATGGTGTAGAAGTTTCGGAATTAGAACTTAGTGTTGAAGAAACGGAGATGGATGGTAGTAAATTCCAAAATGGTCATTTTGAAAAAGGGTCATCCTCTGAAGGAGAAGCAGAACTCGAACCACTATCAAGAAAATCAATTAGTCACAGTGATGAAAGTGGTAGCGAATTTGAAATAATTGATAGTCAGGATGTTGATGACTTAGACATTGCATGAAAATTACAAAAATGTGAACTGTGAAGTTATTATTATGCAGAAATAGGCTTAAAGCAGTTGATAATTTTAAATATAGGGTACTGGACCCTATTAATGTGCCATTAAACTAACTTGCATGTTAATGAATTACTTAATGAATTCTTTGATTCTAATTTAGTCTGCTCAAATTTTTTAATTATAAATTTTTCTGGTCACTGCACTCTCAGAAGTATTTTATAATATAATTACTGCTTCCTCTAGTGGAAACAATATTAATTATCAATTCATTTACTTCTGTTAAGTATTTATTCCTTAACGTTTCATAAGGAAAATAATGTTTATTATACTTCAGTTATTTAAAAATGCCACATTTTCTTTAGAACACGTACAATTAATAATTTAACTCAACTTAAAGAAAGGATTCGAATATTTTCCCCAATTCTTTTATGGTTTTGTTTGACCATAAAGGCACACTAATAGAGACAGACTCACTAATGCAAACCAGTACCTTATTTTATATATAATTCGTTAATGATATAATCAAAATTATTTTGTTTATTTGTTAGCTATACGCTTCAATTTATTGAATAAATGTTAACAAATTTGTATTAGTATTATTGGAGAAAATTATGTTTAGGAAAATAATGTCAGTTATTTTTTATTAGACTTCTGACTGAAGTAAAATTTGGATAATTAGAATTAGAGATTTTTTGACTTTGTGCAAATGATAGCTTCTCAGTAGTTTACTTGTACCAATGTATACTTATGTTGAAGTATACTTATAAAGTTGTACATATTATACGCAAAAAAGAAATTTTATCATTTTAATTTTTATTTTTGTTGACATATAAATTAACTATACCTGTAGTATGTGTACGAAGTTTTTGGTGTATATAAAAGTTCAATTATTAATAAGAAATTAAAAAAGAGAAATCGATGAAATAAGTAACTTTTGTCAATTTAAACATCGCTTTGACCTTTATGGATGAAACTGATTTTGTATATATGTATGACATATAGAAAATTTTTATCTGTAAATTATAATTAAGGAATTAGGAATTATAATATCAGTATACAAGCAGAAAACGAATAGAAAATATAGTAATATCAGTTCTGTTTTTGATATTACAAAAGTTACATATGAACAGAGAATTTGATCTCCCAGGAAAAACGTTTCATATTGGCATTCATAAATACTCAGATGTGATTTTGCATTCTAATTAAGTTATATGTGGTCTAATTTTTTCAGTTCTGTGTAGGTGTTAAACAAAATATAAATAACTATTTTATTGATTAGCCAGATCTCATGATTAAACATGCTTTAAATATCAACAAATTGGTGATATTTATATTACCTTAAAATCGATTAAAAAAATTTTGTTATACAATTACTATTAAAAATGATACCACTTATGTAAATGTAATTTTACTCTGTTACGTACATGCATTTGAATTTAATTTCAAAATATTATTTTATCAGTTTTACCCAGATTTTGCAAAAATTTATTGATTTTATATGTAATTATTTAATTTTATTACATTACAAA